TCTCAATCTGATTTCTTCCATCATCTTCTTAATCTGATTTTTCATACACTTTTTAAATGGTGGAAATTAATAAAAACAAAAAATAAATGCTCAGATGCGCTTTTAATTCGATTTATCGAAATGCTGTAATGAACCAACATCACAAGTAGCGCAAGTAACTCATCATTGCATTTGAGTTGCACCAGCCGGGAATCGAACCCGGGTCTGTACCGTGGCAGGGTACTATTCTACCACTAGACCACTGGTGCTTTTGTTTATGCTTTGCCTCAGGTGCTTTATATCAGTAGCTAAACTTCATTTTATAATAAAAAACAGGAAATCGTTGGCTAAATAAAATGATTTCAAACAGATAAAATTTAAAAGTTTCCTTTGTAAAACTCTATGTAACTAGAATGATTTAAAAAATTATGCGTACTAGTTATTCAATATGTTTTTTTTTTTAATTACATTTTTGTGTATTAGTTATGTTTACAAGAATCATTGTAGTACAATATTGTCTTTTAGCTATTTTTTTACTAATTTGATTTGTTGGTGATAAAAATAAACTCAAATAGACTCATGTATAAGTAAACAAGTTGAAGTTGTCACGTTTAATACACAAATGTATTTGTTTGATGACTTGACGTACTTGATGCTAAGTATTTTATTAAGTGAGTGATATACAATTGTACAGTATACACCTTTCAAATTTTCCAATTCCTCCAAAAAGTATCTTATTTAATACACATACCAAACAATAAGTTCTAATTTATTTCTTGTTTAGGATAGAGTTTGTATCAATATAATAATTAGAATAAATTATTGAAATCGTCCCTATGGTTTAGTCAAAATTACGAGTTTGGTCCCTAACTTTTGTTTTGCACTCGGACCGTCCTTACAGTATGATTTCGTTGCGTTTTTAGTCCCTGTCACATTTGAAAAGACTATATTACCCTTTGTTTTTAATTTTTCAGTTTTTTTATTATTTATTATATTAAAAAAATTAATAAAACATGTGGGGCCCACCTAAACTTTTTATCTCCTCAATGTTACCCTAAATCTCGTCCTTCCCTTTGACTGAAACTCATCTTCATCTCCCTCATTCTTCTCCATAATCGGTGCTGTCATCGGACGCATAAATCAAACACCACCGCTGCCATCATCTGGGATAAATCAAACGCAAGAAGCACCTCCTTTTGTTGAACCTAAATCGATCCACCACCATCGCCTTGGCGACTGCTTCCTTCCACCATCGTAAGTGGAGCGCTGTGTCGGAAAATGAGACAATCAAATCTGTCAATGCCTTGAAAGAAATTTCCTTCCACCGCCACCGCCGTCTCCTTCTCTATAACCCCGACCACCATCATCTCCATCAAAAATCTTTGAAAATTAGACTGCCAAATCAAAAATCGCGAAGATTGTCGTTCCCCTTTTAACCCAGGTTCTTCTTAAAATCGTCTTTGATTTTGGGGATTCCATCAGATTTTTCTTTCATCTCCGATTTCAGGTTAGGTTTTGGGTTTTGATTTCCAAATTTAGTTTTGATTTCGGGATTTGATCTTGGTATGGTTTGATTTCCGAGATTTGATCTTGGGGTGTCACCTGATGAAATCGATGATATGGGTGGTGGCGGTGGTTCCGGAATAGGTGGATAATGGTGGTGACGGAATAGGTGGGTAGTGTTGCCGGTAACCGATGGTGGTTGCCGGTGGAAGTGGCAATATAAGTGGGTCCTACATTTCTATAAATCATTTTCTTTAATTAGTAAATAAAAAAAAAACTGAAAAATAAAAAAAAGGGTAATATAGTCTTTTCAACTGTGGCAGGGACTAAAAACGCAACAAAATTATACTGTAAGGACGGTCCGAGTGCAAACCAAAAGTTAGGGACCAAACTCGCAATTTTGACTAAACCACAGGGACGATTTCAGTAATTTGTTCTAATAATTATAAACATGTCGATTCAGATAAAACTTATTTATCAAATTTAACCAAAGGGTGAAATGGCTAGAAAGAAAATGACTCTTGACCCTTGGCCCTTTGTTAATGTTAAAATTTGTGGAGAAAAAATGATGTGTGGAGGTATTGAATAATGAGAAGTAAGTGAAAGATTAATACCAAGGAATTGCAATGACAAAGATTTCCACTACTATTGAGTCATTAGCAGAAGCAGAGGTGATTTAAACACCTTGTAAAGAGGGATGTAATGCATACTGAATTGGTTATTAATCATCATGCATCATCTTATCATATTTCCCCACTAATAGATGTAGTCAGTAGTCACAATTTAATGATAGCGAGAGTAACCCAAATTATATGGTTATCAGAATCAATCAATTTTAGAGATGGTTAATTTTATATATTTAAAATTAAAAAAAAAATCTGCATTTGTAATATCTTAACTTTTTATTTTTCTTTAAATTATTTCCTTAAGTAGCCGGATTTTTGTGTGCTTAGGTAGGATTTTTTTTGTGCATAGGTAGGATTGTATATGTCTACGTAGGCTTTTGTATGCTTATGTAGGATTTTGGCATGCTCGGGTCGTGTTTTTGACCCCAAATTGGTTTTATGTCCTGGTTCGGTTATGAATTTTGTTGTTTGTTGTGTTGTAATTCTGCCATATAATTTTTAAGAGTTGTTTGGTAGAAAGTGAATAATTCACTGTTGAATGATTAGGAGACATGAATCATTCAATGTTATTTGGAAAAAAATTACCATTTTACCTTTCTAACAAAAACAATTTTAAAGAACACATAATTGTAATTTAATTCACAAATTAATAAATTCAACTAAAAGGAAACATATTAACCAAAATCATATCAACTATTAACTTAAAAAATCTTGAGAAACCACACTCTATTTCTCAATTCCATCATGATATGGTCGATTGCTTAAACAATCGCTCAAAATCCAAGAAAACAAAAGTCAAATGACATCTATACGAAGATGTGTTCATGACCCAACCGAAAAGTTTTAAACCTAAGGGTAAAGAGCATTTGATATGTAAACTAAAGAAGTAAATATATGGGTTAAAATAAGCATCCCACAATGGTATTTGAAATATGATGAAGTCGTGAAAAAAAAAATGGCTTCAATAAGAATCGAATGGATCAGTATACTCCCTTAAAATGAGTGGGTGCAACTTTGTGAAACTTTGATGACATTATTTTGCAAGTAACAATCTAAATTTTGTGTATGAGTCAAAGCGATTACTTTCGTGTCATTTTGACATGAAAGAACTCAGGAAAGCTTCTTATGTGATCAACTTCATTTTCTGTGATGAAACTTCATTTTCTTCATTTTAGCTCTGAAAAATCTACGCTCCTAGCCCTTTTTCACCATCCTCAATCATCTCTAACCTCCAAGAACAACCTGAAATGACACGAAAAGGTTGTTTAAAAAAAAACCATCTTCATACCACTTTTTGATGTGCGGCACAGCATACGTGCAAAACTTGCCCTCTCGCAGCAGTTTGTTTTTTTAGAAGACTACAAAACATTTGTGCATGTTCTGCGCGGCGCAACACTTAACTTGTCTTTTCAAACCTCTTCAACTTTTTTTTCCAAGTGATTTTTTTTAGAAATTTGGTATAACTTGATTTTTTTTAAAAACTTTGATTTTTTTTTTAACTTTGATTTACGGATTTGATACAATTTCTTCTTATAGTTTCCACAATTGTTTATAGGTTGATTTTTTTTTAAAAAAAAAGAAAGAAAAAACTTTGATTTTTTTATTTTTTTACCGTTTTTTGAATAATATTTTCAGTTTCTGTTGTATCTTTTTTAAAATATGTGATTCTTCTATGAGTTTTGTAGACATTGTTTGCAAAACTGGTATATTCTTTTAAATTTTTTAAGATTTCTTTTACTATTATTTTTTTTATGTTCTTTAAAATTAGTTTTTTCTAGAAAAAAACTGATAGATTCTCTTACATTTTTTAAGATTTTTTTTTTCGAAATTTTTTATTTTTGTTTTTTTTACATGTTCATTTTAGTATTCTTTCAATGTTTTAAGACTAGAATTATTAAAATTTCGGTGTTGAGAATTATTTTCAATTTGTAAAATCAGTTTATTTAAATTTCAGTTTACTGCACTAACCTGCAAATGTTAAAAAACAAATAGGCTTTTTATTACAGGCTGCAGCCGTTTTGTCCACCTCTTATGTTGCAGAGAGTTGCAGAGGTGGTCCGCAGACTTTTAAAGTTTGAGAATTCCAGGAGAATCCGCTCAACTAAGAACCCTTTAGATATCATACAATTTACTAAAATTACCTTTTAAAGTTTTCATTCGGTTTTTTAATTGATCTTTTGTAATAGACATGTTAAACTCTTTACTCGTCAATGTAATCATGTTAGCATAAGCTTGCAAAGTGAATGTACCAGTCACCCAATAACCTATTTGATCTTTCTTTACCGGTGTTTCAACGAGAACATTATCCATCTTATCTGTCTATGTCAAAAAAAAAATTCACAACACTTCCATCAACCCTTGCAACCACGATATCTAGTGGCATCTTTATTGTGTACTTTTACACGAATGTGTGTCCTGTTAATTTCCCCTACACAATTCTTGAAGTATGAATAAAATCTCTTTTTCTTTAGAATTTCTTTCGGGACAATATCACCTTTAGGTTGTTGAATGTAGTAACTTTCTAATGCTACAACCGTGCGGAGAAGTTTATGGAAGCACCTACTTGTAGATTTAGCACGCCCATACATGTGCAATGCTAGTCATGGAGTCTACAATTTTTTCCTGTCACTTCCTTGCTACTAATCATCATCTAAGAACTCAATTATATTAACAAAAATTACTAATTATGATAGCAAAAAATTACAGGAAAAATCTCTACTTTCACCATTTTATTGGTTAGATAGAACTTTCGGAAATTAAACATCATTAAAAACTTAAAAAGTACAACAAACAAAAGAAAATGCTAGAAAAAAGATGAAATTTACACAACAGAAAAGATAAAAAAAGATCTCATATACATACACCTCGAATAATATTAAGATTTTAATATTCTCAATTGTCTTCTCTATGTATTAAAGATGGAATCGGTGGTTCCAGAGTTACATCTTTACCTCTCGAATGCGAATCCTCCAAATCTGATGGCTGCCTGGCAGAGCTATTCTGTGGTGGAGAACTGGGACCGGAATGGAATCCAGATTCCTGTTCTCGTGGCAGAGTTGATAACGGAATCGGAACGGCTACCTCCTCCCCGGGTTTCTTATAAAACTTATCCTCTTTAATGTCATACATGTTTCCAGTCCGGACTTCCTGAGCAAGCGTACACCAGCAACAGAATAGCCACAATGCACAATCAGTAACAGCAGGTCTCCCACAACAGGAATCAGAAGGTGGCAGATTGAATCTTTTTCTCATTTGAATCCTCCAAAACCCACCATAAAGCAACCCAAACACACACAGAAATATCCCCGTAATCCCCAATGCCTCTCTTGCTGTCTCATTATCGATATTTATCGCAGCCAAATTAAAAATCCAAAAAGGCGCCAAACAAAATAAAAGAAATGTTGCGATATGAACATACATGTTTCCAAATCCAAGTCGCTCCATATTCCATCCAAAAACACAAAAACTACAAAACAACGAGAGGTATGCTAATGAGATATCTTGCCAAAAGTCGAAAATACCCCCGCTCCATTTCGGACTAGTTTCGATTGTGCTCTCGTCTTTTGGGGTGAATGAGAATCTTCTTTGGAAAGACTTCCCTCGGTTGCTTTCCGGTTTAAGTTGCGATTCTTCATCGGAAGGAGCGGAATCGTATTCCTTTCCGAGGGGGCTCACGACGGAATACACACCAGCGATTGCGGGAGCGCCGATTGCTACGGAAATGGTGATTCCGACTCCGATTGCTGGTCTTTCTGATCTCCTGTACCCGACATTGAGACCACATAACGCGTATTGTGCGAAACAGTTTAGGTTAAGTAACAAGACAACAACCAACATGTGGGCCCATTCATGAGGTTTATAAGTTCCATCCTTGCAGTATAATTTTCTTAATTTTGAAATGTCTTCTGGTTTCCATCTTATGAGGAGTACAAGGTGGTAAAGCCTGTGGGGATGTTGGTAAAGACACATGAGGGTAAAAAGGGCATTTAAGATTTGGTTGTTGACTTCAAACCAAGCGTCTCTTTGGGTCTTTCTTGGAAGGACGTGGTTTAACATACCTGTCATGACAAGAAAGAGGATTGCACCTGAGATAGCAACAACTATGATCCAGATTAAGAGAACCATGTTCATGGGGTTTCTTATCCATTCTTTGGCTAATTTTTGGAGGGAAATCCAGTCAATTTTCTTGGAGAAGACTTGAGTGAAGCGATCACGAATTGCTTGACTTGCACTTGAGGGAACTGTGCGTGAGAAATCGTCTCTTTCTTGGGCAATTCTTTGGAATTTTGCAGTTGGAGTACCTAAATTGCCAAATACAAGAAAACTTGGGGTTCTATTGATTAGAGGAGTAGGAGTTGTAGCAGTACTATCCCCCCGAGTTTGAGAACCTTCATCCCTAAGAAGTCCCCTGCGAGAGGTTTCAATGTGAAGATTGACTATAGGTTTCACTCTACATCCGTTTGATTTCTCTTCTTCAACTCCACCATTATCATTTGAAGTCATTGTAATGTAGTTCAACTGTTGTTTCTTCCTTTAATAACAAGAGCAATGGTGGTAGCGATGAATAAACATGGAGAACTAGCTTCCAACTTCAAATCCAGGAGAACTAATCAAGTTTATGACAAAAAAAAATTGATCAGAAGGTAACTTAAATAACAAACGCCTGCAATTAAAATAATACAGATATCTAGTTTGCAACGAATTTCACATGAATAATTGACTATCGACATTGAGCAGTGTTACTTTTGACCAGAAAAATCTAAGTGCATCCCTTTTGGTAAAGCAAAATGTAATTGCATCAGCTATGCACGAGATAAGCAAACGAACACAAATCTAACTGTAATTAATAATAGAGCTAACTTCAAACGAAAGGCAAAAAGATCAATAACGTAAGAACATTGTACAGCTGTAATGTTCGTCTGTTCTCAAACCTAAACTCAAGCTAAATTGTCAAATTAAGCCAAATTCGAGTTGTTAAACGACTTAAACTTGCAAAATAAGAACTGATCAACAACATCTACCTAAAACCTCGAGAGTTCAAAAAAGTGAAATTGAGAAACTTAAAGCAGTCAACGCGTATATCATCAAAAAGCGTGAAAACTGAAGAATCTTAAAACCGTACGAACAAAGCTAAGATCTGAAAATGCTTTTGAGAAAAATATGTACCTGTAGCTGAAAACCTAGTTCAAATTCATCTTATCCTCCCTTTGGTAACAACTTTAGAGTTATTGAGAATCCTTAAACGGAGGAAAAGAGGCTCAAAAGCAGATGAATGAAGGGAAGAAGGTTCTTTTGTGTTCCACTTGAAAAAAATATCTGCGAATAGCAGGCAGCTCAGCTGGTGGATTGAATTATTCGGTTCGGTCAATGCGAAGCCGCTTAGCTTGACCGATTAACGACCGCAAACAAAAAACCGGCACAAACAATAAACCTATTCTCCGTTGTCCAGCGGCGTTGCTTTATAATACGGCAATTCTTTTCCTTCCTTTACTAAAAATGTACAGAAGCAGTCCTCTGACTTTTCGTATATACAGACTACTCCCTCTTATTGTTATAAATGATCCAGAGACCCTTTTTCAATAGAATTTAAGTTTGTTCACCTCGTTTTATTTTGTCTACAAAATATTTTAGAAGCAAACGATAAGATATTTTCGATATTCATAAATTGCTCTCTCTTTTGGAAAGTAAAGAGATTATTCTATTAATATCAGAGATAATAATATAAAAGTTTTTAATTTTGCCAGAAATGTATAAATTTAATCTTTTACGGATTTTAAGTTCATTAAAACCGGATGTTCGCCAAAAATTTTTTTTACCTTTTTGTGTATTTCTACTTCATTAAAGCGCTTACGTTTGGCAGAAATATTCAGTTTTACTTTTTTTTCTTGTTCATAAAATCTCTTAAGTTTGGTTTTATGGTTCATTAAAGTCCTTAAAAATGTTTGGTTTTACCACACAAAAAGGATAAAATTAAAAAAAAAAAAAATCACACATCCGATTTTTGTGAACCTAAATTCCGCAAAATGATAAATCCATATGTATTTGTCAAACTTAAGAGCATTTATGTCATTATATCTTAATGTTATGCATAAATTTTAGGGATAATGACTTTAAAATGTAATATACTTTTCGATTTGTATATATGGTCACTGTTTTTTTTTCGATTTGTATACATTCAGTCTTTATGACCGGCTACTCCAAGTAAACCGGAAAAAATGACTTAATAGGGTAATATATATCTTACTTTGTACACATTTAGTACTTAAATTTTTTTTCACGTTTAATCCTTAATATTTTTTATGTTGCAAAATAAGTCCTTGTTATTTTTGTACATATTCAGTACTTATGACCGGTTTCTTTAAGTTTTTCTCACGGTATTCTACGTGGGACAATCATTAATGATGTGTTCGGGGTTGTTGATGCTTATAGTCACCGCGTCATCGGCTGCTTAGTTGCTTAGGTCTTGTGTTTTGAACGTTGTAACTTCTTCATGCGATCTCTGCTTTTAACAATCTTTATATCCACTCGTTCTTATTTGAGTCTACTACAATTTTCGTTTAGATTACTCCCATTAAAAAATGATATATTTTTACTTATGATATTTATATGCATGCGTTCTTTATAAATGTATGTATGAACGTTTTTTTTTATAAAATCGTAAGTAAAAATATATTGCTTTTTAATGGAAATAATCTAAACGAAATAGTAGACTCAAATACGAACATATGGATATAAAGATTGTTAAAATTCGAGATCGTATGAAGAAGTTACGATGTTTAGAACACAATACCTAAGCAATCAAGCAGCCAAGGCCACGGTGGCCATAATCATCAACAACCCTAAACACCTTATTAATGATTGTCTCACATAGGATATCGTAAGAAAAACTTAAATAAAATGTTTATAAGTATTGAATATGTACAAAAACAACAATGATTTATTTTGCAACAAAAAAATGACTAAATGTGCAAAAAAATATATTAAGGACTAAATATGTACAAAGTGATAAATATATATCATATTAAGTCATTTTTTCCGACTTACCTAAAGTCGTTGGTTATAAAGACTGAATGTGTACAGTTAAACAAATTGAATGGACAAATGTAAACAAAAAAAAACTCAGATAACAAATGTATACAAATCAAAAAATACATTACCTTTTCAAAAATTAAATTTTATCACAGAACTACTAACAGTTTGTAATACTAAAACAAGTAATTGTTTTAAACAGGAAGGTGTAATGTTTCCAAGTAACAAGTCAAAATTAGTTAGATATTTTTATTAAATCTATTTTTAATAAAATAATCAATATGCCAAACATAATGACAAAAGATATATAATTAATTAGTTACAAATCATAATCTTGTTTTTAAATAATATTATATCGGACGATTTTCGACTCGTTCGACATATTTTACTCGTATATATAGTGGAGTCATTTAACTTAGTCAAGGTGAGATAATTTAAAAAATAAATAAAAGGGGTCAAATTTACCCATGTATGTAATTATATATAGTTGTTATGTTCAACAATATTGAAAGTTAAATGAAATCCACACCAACTAAATTGCAAATAGAAACGGTTGTTTGCCCTTTCTCCTCTCGACGAGAGTGTTGGCTCCTTTAAAGTACGATCTACAATATTCACCTACGCATGACACATTAGTTTATTTATATTTGAAACAATATTTAATAGAAACACTCTTAAGAAAATAATATAATTGAAAAGTTAATAAGTGTTGGTCCTAGAACAATGAAACTTGCAAATTTCTTTAATTGCTTCTTATGGAAAAGTGCCTTTCATTAAAACAGTAGTACTTCTTCTCCGGAACTATTTCACATTTGCTTTATAGAATAGATTGTTTGATTCATAATGAAAATTTAATCTTACATAAATAGGAATATAGAATAGACTCTTGGAGTCTTGGTCCAAGCCCTAATCACTAGCATCGATTAAACCGGAAAAATAAACAAAAGAACAAAACATGAAAGCATAGATGAAGGTAGTGGCAACGAGAGTGGCAAAGCTCTGATGATTGTGTCTAAAACGATTACTCGTCGAAGAAGAGAGAAAAGAAGCGGGGGTCAGAAGCAATTTCGTTGTAAAAGAAAAGATCGGTGACAATGATCATGGAACCACCAGTAGAGGCGCCCAAAGAGAGAGAGAGAGAGAGAGAGAGAGAGAGAGAGAGAGATAATTGTAGATCAGAGGCTACCCGGTGGAGAAGGTGTCATCGGAAGGAGGCGGCAGCAACATCGGAAGAGGCCGACTCTAAAAAAAGATTCAAAGAAGAATAGGTCAACCAGAAAGGAGACAGAAGACTCAGAGGCAGGGGCCATCCAAGGATGAGACAAAGCAGACAATGCAGTAACAGAAGTCAAGCGAGGAGCTCTGGTTTGGTGTTGGTGGTTGCTTTATTATTTAGGAGGAGACAAAAGACTCGGAGTCAGAGGTCATCCAAGGAGGAGACTGCCTACATGCTTTTCAGGTTGATCGTCACCAATCCAAGTGCATCAAATTCATAACCCTAACCGTTCAACTAAAAGGATTATAAAACCCAGTCATTACCCAAATTCTGCCCAATATTAGAGAACTTGGAGAATCTCCAACCACATTCTATTTTTACACTATTTTTAGAGTGTAAAATAGAATTTACTATTTATCTCGGGACCCATTCTATTTCTAACTTACTTTCCTTTGGGTAACTTCAGGCTTTTGAAACAAAAACCATACAACGCTGATATTTTACATGTGAATTTTGATCAAGTCACATAAAACAGAGATGGTGTTCAGTTCGGACGGGTGTAGCTATTGGGCACTTTCCCTTTTTAATAGTCTAACTGAAAGTGTGCAGCGTTCTACATCTCATTATTAAACAATAACATTATCGATATTTATATCTCATTAATAATAACATTATTGCTTTATAAAGTCCACAAGGTTCTATATCTCATTAACAATAACATTATTGATATTTATTTACAAATCAATATATATTATAGGGTGGGGTTTACCTTTAATAATGAAGAAAACCTACAAGATTTGCCAAGTTTGTAAAGATTGTCGGCTTTTTTGTACAATTTGGCAACACGTGGCAAATGTAAAAATGACGGTTTTGCAAAATTCCTCCAAAACAGACCAGATTTTTTCTATTTGAGTACATTTACATGTGCGCCCCTTCAAATATTGACATATGATGGAAGCAACTCTATGGATTTCCTTGACCTTTTCTTTTCTGTTTCGTGGAAACAACATATCAAAAATTTGGGCTTTTGAAACAAAAACCATACAAAGCTGATATTTTACATGTGAATTTTGATCAAGTATCATAAATATCTAAATTGACGTCTCCTTTATTTCTTAACTGAACTTACGATGGAAGCTTTTCTTAACTGAACTTACAATGGAAGCTTAATGGTTAGAGTCTAAAACTCCATAAAACAGAGATGGTGTAGCTATCGGGCTAGGGGTGACCATTTGAACCTGTGGACTGGACCAGACCGTTTTTTTGGACTTCCAGACCGGTTCTCGGTTCTAAGATTTGAGCAAACCGGTCCGGTTTTTTTATCGGTCCGGTCCGGCCGGTTCCGGGTAAACCGGTTTTGGACCAGCTTATTTAAAAAAAAAATTGTTCAAAGATGAGATGCGGTTTTTTATAACATGTAATTTAGAACTTGTAGATGATTTTTTACTATAATTTTATTGTTTTTGGTATTATATTCAATGAGTTACAATCGTTCAAAGATGAGATATCAAAGTTGAAATATTTCAGCTTTTCAGCAAGAAATTTTCACTTTTGTATTCTGTGAAATTATTTAAACAAGCATATCTCATTCGTTTTAAGTCGGATTGACATGCGGTTTTTTTCCAACTTATAATTTAGAGTTTGTAGATAGTTTTAAACTATCATTTTATTGTTTTTGGTGTTATGTTCTATGAATTACAATCCTTCAAAGATGAGATATTAAAGCTGAAATATTTTAGTTTTTTAGCAAGAAATTTTAATTTTGTATTCTGTTAAATTTTTTAAACAGACATATCTCATTCGCTTTAAGTTAGATTGACATGCATTTTTTTCAAACATGTAATTTAAAGTTCGTAGATGAATTTAGATTATAATTTTACTGTTTTTGGTATTATATTCAATGAGTTATAATCCTTCAAAGATGAGATATAAAAGCTGAAATATTTCAGTTTTTCAATTATTACTTTTTAGTAAATACCAAGGTTCTAAATAACGTAAGGCGTCACTTGACGGCAATGTCAAGCCTCAAGCTTTTCCGAGCCTTGGCGAGTCATGGCGTTTGTAAGGCGTGACTTAAGGCGGCAATCTTCTATATAATTAATATTTTTATATGTATTTTCAACTATTATTCATTTTTATACACATATATGAGTTAAGGCGGCGTTTTAGCAAAGTTTGGCTGCAAGTGCAAGCCTTGGAGCCGTGGCGCGCCATGGCGGAGCCATGGCGAGCTTTTTAGAACCTTGGTAAATACTAACAACATTTTCATTTGGTGTTTATGTAGAAATTTCACAAGCCTTAAACATGTTAGATTTAGATGAGAGTGATATAGGGAAGAAGCAAATGGAAGATTAGATTATGACATTTGGTAGTTGGATTAATTTTAAGTTTTAAACTATGATTTTTGGTGTTACGGTAATTACTTATGTATGTTTGAGTTAAGATTGTTAACTTTTGTTTAGGTGCTTTAATTTGAAAATTTAATTTTGCAAGTTATAATATTATAGATAAAGTTAGATTGGTTATGCATGAAATATGATAAAGTCATTAACTTATTTGATTCAAAGTTCAAGCAAATGGTATAAACGATCAAAGTTTGACTGGTCCAACAGATACAAGAAACGAAAACATATTCATTTTTACAAGTTGTATCATATCAAACCCAAAAACGTATTCATTTTTAACGAGTGTAACATATCAAACCCTACAACATATTCGTTTTAACGAGTTGTATCAAACCCAAAAATTTGTTTTAACTACTTGTATTATATGCATGTAAAATTGTACCGGTCCAACCGTGTCTAAGAACAGGAAAAACCGGACCTGGACCCTGTAAGTCTCATCCGGTCCGGTCCACGGTCCAAAATATTCTCTGAAACCGGTCCGGTCCAAAAGTCGGTTTGGTCCGGTCCATTATTGATATTTATATCTCATTAATAGTAACATTATTGATATTCAAAGTCAACAAGGTTCTATACCTCATTAACATTATGGATATTTATTTACAAATCAGTGGGGTTTATATTTGGGAAGGGATATTTCCACTTAATAATTTGACCTTTGACATGATATTTCCACTTCATAATTTGACTTTTGACATGAGATACAACACCATTGAAGGTATCATACAAGTTAGTAAAACAAACATTTTAAATGGATGAAACAATTTATTAAATGGAAATATCACTTATGCAAAGGAAAATTGACACTGTAGATATGCACAAAAAGCACGGTTTCATAACTGGTGAAGAAGCCCGATACTTAGTTAATTGATTGGAGTAAAATGTTAGTGATTTTTTCAATAAATAAGTTTAATCGAATGTAGAAAACAATATAAAGGACCAGATACTTAGGGACCTATGTAATACTACTAGACACACTTTATTCATGAAGTGTCTTCTGCTAAGAAATTCAAATTTTGTGATTTTATAAAGGGTCAAGAATTCTGTTAAAAAAAGATATGCATGTTTGAAAAAAAAGTGTTGTATGTTTAGGAGGAATAAAGTATAGCAAAAATCCATCCTATAAATACATCCTATGGTTTTGAAGAAAACCAAAAACGAAAAACACAACTCCATATTTGTTATAAAGAGCTATAATCAACAATGTAATGAGGATTCTGATTGAGGAACAAATTAAAATAAAAAACAAGACTTCCTTTTATTTCCTGCACAACAGATAAATTGGACACTTGTCAGCAAATCCCAGCATCTAAAAACATTAATGAAAGTCTCATCAATTAAAAAAAAATGATCCAGTAATAGTACCTGCCACTCTTAGCAGTAGGCACAATTATTCCTCTTTTCTCAAGGCTCTTGTATCTGTCTCTAGCAAGCGTGCAACATGCCTACAAAATAATATTTATGACATTCACAAATATATACTTATTATTATTAAAAAACACAAACTCTAATTGTAGGAAATGCAAACCTTGAGTTTCCTTAAAGAACCAGTGATTTCTTCAGATAACAGCACTTGAACAGGCGCAGGCTCAAATCTGAAAAACATTACCCCAATTTTACACATTCAACCCTAAACTTACATTGCTATAAACAAGAAAATTGGTATTTTACAAATTCAACCCTAAACTTACTTGTGTCTCCCTAGACGTGGTGGACATGATTTTAGTCTTTCTTTTTTGGCAATTGCACGCCTTTCATGTCTCTTGCTTTTTTCTTCATCCTCTTTGGCAATTTCATCAATTATATCTGGTAAGCTGCATTATATATTTAAAACCAAAACAAATAAACATAATGAAAATAAAAATAGACATAAAACCAAATACATTAAAAAAAAAAATCACCTGTCAAGCTCTTTAGTGAACTCCTTTGTCTTTTTAGCTTCTGCTTGCTTCTTCAATTTTTCTTTATTTCTAATCCTCTTATTCAAAACTACTCGTGTTACCCTTTTAGTTTTAAATGGCCTGCATTTTTCATAATTTTCAAAGTATAAGTTTAATATAAATCGTACATAAACTTTATAGATGGATAAAAAGGAGATGTACATAAACTACATACCTTTTTTCAAGATCTTCATCAACATTTTGCTCATCATCATCATCATCACCATCACTCTCTTTGTCCGCATCAAGAAAATACATCTGTTAAAATCTCTAAATCATTAGCTACACGAATTAACATAAGTATCTACAAGGCTATAATTCCAAAAGATTAAGGCTACACACATCTTCCTCATCAATGGCTTCTCCAGGAACAGTTAATGGAACAGGTGTAGGGCGTAGTTCTTTAGTGTAAATCTTCTGCATTTCATCTGCAACTGCATGAGCTAATGAATCCTGCAAAAAGTTTAAAACATGAAGAAGAAGTAGTAAATAAATGGAAGTCATTATTCATTTATAGTTTCAACAGACTATTCGGTAAAAATCATGTATAAGAAAAGGACCTGATGACTTTCAGATGATGGATTGTATGAGCATCCAGGTGGTTCTACTTCCACAGCAGGAATCACAATAATCTTATTAGAGACCTTTCTTGCCTTAAAAGTTCGCTCATCTGAAAAATCACACATCCATTAAGAAATCTCTCATTTAAGACCAAAAAGAAGAGGCATCTGCGAAGAAATAAGTAAGAGATAAACCTTTATCATCCCAGATATCAACTATGCCGGTATCTGTGGTGCCATCTTTCTGTTCAATTACAATTTAGATCATATCAATCACACAAATATTCCAGTACAATCATTAAGAAGAACCCAAACCCCAAACTTTTTCCACTTAAACGGACCTGAGAAGAATCGTCTGACCTCTGAATCATTTTCCGTTTTTTAAAGAAGTTTTTCTGATTTGAAGAGGGTACAGGTTGTACAAACGAGTTTTTCTGTAGTATGCTATCAACACGAAGGATCTTCTCTCTGTGTTTATCGATTTTACGCTTGACGGAAAGATCTGAATAGGCAAAACCACAAACATGTTCACCAGTTATTTTTACAATTGAAATTGTCATAATGTTTATTCTTACTTTTTCACATTTTACATGAACAGAGTTGCTAGGTTGCAACGAAGCATCTAATGCGGTGAACAGAAATTGAATACTAATTACTAACAAATACATATGAATTCAGAAAGGAAGAGTAAGGGCACGTCATTAACATATTATAGGAGCATGAAGATGTTAACCTCTGGACTTATCCACGAAGAACAGAGAATCGCTAGGGACTTCGGTTAGAGAACCACCGGAAAGAGCGTCTTTGCTAGATTTCTCATAGAAATCCTCGATATCTTCTGTGCTTATATTGGCTCTCCATGCTTTCTTCCCTTTCCTTGATCCCTTCGATTTCGCCATCGCAAAGGATGTGTTGCCGCCAAGAAGAACCTGTAAAACCCTAATTTAACCGAACTGGTGAAGTTTTCTGATTGGAGGCGGGTCTTAAGGTTTTATGTCTCGGACAAGTTCGGATCCCTATTAACCCGGTTTGTGACGCGCATGTTTAAGGCCCAATAACAATATGTGTCCCTTAAATATATGACATGGTCAAGTTTAGTCTATGAACCATCAAATTCTCACAATTCTGCCAAAAGTCCTAAAACATTTTTCGTTAGGCATGTAAAACAAATGTTTTGCTTCGACCTAAACCTTAAAGTGGATGTGAACACGATGGAAAAACCAGTCGAGTCTTCCGGCAGGAGCGAGCATTCTCTTTTATTTGTTAAATTTTGTCGGTTTGTCTTGATTTCCGATTGATGAACTCATGAACAAGAAGGGCAACTCCTGCTTAGCTTGTTCGCTTATCCGGGAATAGTGACCTCGGGTTAAGCTTGCCAAATAGCCCCCCTCCCTGAATACATATGGTAGGTAGGAATTGGTAAGAAAGGGTTCCACGTTGAGTTCTGAATCAAAAAAGTCAACAAAAATTTACTTGAGACGAAGGAACCGAGTGCCAAAAAAAAACGGTTGGACATTCATGGATCACAGATGGTATCTCCCCATGGTCAAAAGCCCTTCTTTTAAGTTTCTTCCAGATAATTACCGGGTAATTGGTTGTCTTACGCCGATATAACAAATAGTTAATCACATATATGGGTAAACAACTACGTATTTTATATATCATTGGTTACTAACGTTTGATCGAACATCAAATCTTTTTAAATAGTTGAAATTAGAACTAATGGTTAAAATATATATAATTTATACTAGATATTGTTTGCTTTTACTCTCTAAGTATCCATGTCCTGCTTGGTGACTCGTGTTATCTCGACAACGTTTTTTATGAGACTTTGTATTTCAAATTTTTATTCTACATGTCTTTGTCAATATAGTTACCAATTTCGTAATGTCCACTATAAAACACACTATTTGTTGGTAAACCGGTATTGGTATTTAATACATTTTTAGATTGTTCATCATTTTTGTAATATGAAGCTTGGTTTTACCGCAAAAATTGTTTAAAGATCCATACAAGGAAAATCCTTCAAAAAATATTCTTTGTTAAAAAGTTAAGATTTTTGCAAAAAAATATGAACAATTTCTTATGAAGCTCAATTTTGTAGTGGGGAGTGGGACCATAAAACTAATTGAGGTCGGCTAAAAAGATATTTATTTTTACGATATAGACACCTGCTCATTTATTCAATTATTTGTATCGGTTGAAATTGTATCATTTTCCAAAAAATAGTTATAAGTAATTAATCTGGATTGACTTTTGATAAAGGGTATCCATATGGTTAGTGTCATTGTTCAATCAACTTTAGTTTTCGATCCAATTTAATCATCAGTAGTTTCTTGTGCATTATAACTCCCTATACGTTTAAAATTGGTGACATAAAAGTCATGTTGGTATATGTGACATGTCAGTCGGTTACCGCATACACATGGCATTTCATGTGTCATTTTGTCACCAGAATATACCTACATGGCACTGACATGGCATTTCATGTAGTTTTACTTTTTAATTAATATTAAAACTATTATTATTATTATTATTATTATGAAATCATTTTTCATTTAAATGCGATGCGAGAACATATTATCTCTAACCACCATTCCCCTCCCACCATCATCATCTAGATCCTACCATCACCGTCAATCAACATTCATCAATTTTATGCATCAGAAACAAGATTTCTTGGTTCATTTGACTAGTATAAAATAAGAAACTTACAAGTTAAGATTATGATGCAGAAAAGCAATAGACTTTCATTACAAATCTCACCATAAAAACCAACATTTTATTGTCCATAAAATCAATATCCATGGATGAAGAAGTTCAAAGCTTCAGGTAAAAAATACAAAAACATAACAAAATTTTTTTTTAAAGAAAATCCATAAAACGAACCCAAAAGTATAACAAAACATGCATGTCTAAAATCAAACTCTGGTTAATCATAGTAAAAAACACCCAAACCATTGATACCCGAGTTGTGGGGGAGGGGGTCACTAAAGCTTCATAAGGGTTGACTTTGGTTTAAATCGAATGTGTATTGGGGTCAAAAATACATTTGATTGAAGCATGCCACAACTGTCTATATATAACAAAGTCGATCACTGTAAAAATCACAAATGTCAATGCTAAGACCATCGGTCGAAGACTCGAAGTTTGTGATGATGCAATACCCCTTTATTCCGCCACCATTAGTCATGAATACCACCACCAATATATTTAGTAACACAATCAAATTATATCTCCAGTTAATCAAAACACTTCATTATTACACAAAGTTGATGTTTGTGATGATTGTCGTTTTAAAAAAATATTGAATCAACTTTTCTAGAAAAGATTGTAATGTCTTTAAAATTACAAAGAGATTTTTCATTTAAAATAGATTAACTAGTTAAAAAACCTGATACTTAAAATCATTAAGTGACATTCATTTGTTTGAAAATAATAATGTAAACAAAGTTGAGTTACAAAAACAACGGAAACCAATATCTTCGATGCGTGTGTACAGTCTCGACGAGCTATTCTCACGAATAAATTGCAAAATATTTAATCCACAATTGTAAGCATAAAGCTTAGTGAGTTCCCCAGTATACCACATATTCCACCATACATGCATTGCATACAAGCAACGTTTTGGGCTTTAGCGTCGATCTGCCAACTCTCATATCCACATGCATACAACGTACATAACAAACATACATGTCAGTCACCGACACTCTGCCACTACCGTTACCAGCTCTCAACAGCCCATTACTACCGGCTCTCAACAGCCCATTACTACCGGCCCTCAACCGCCATGCAATCATCGACTTCTCACCGAAATCACATCCACACCGAGCCAATGTGAATATTGACAATCGACTCATGAACAAGTAACCATATGTAGTCAGGAGTCAGATAGACAGTCAAACATATGATCATACTCTAAAACCACAACCAAACAAGGAATATGAAGGAAAACCTAGACCAAGAGTTCTCAGGCTATCCAACTTAAACTACATACAACCCATAGGGTATCCATTCAACGATCAGTCAATACTATCATTACCATAGTCCAACATGACACCTAACAATATCATACAATCAACAGGCAAGACCCTTCTAGTCAGGACAAAATAGTCAAGATGTCGAACACCACAACGTCGTGGGGCGTGGGCCTTCCTTGTTCACGTCGTAGTCTTTGGCAGAATGCCTTTATCTTAATTAAAAGTTTAATCCTTACATATTAAAGCCCATAACTTCATATTTGGTTATTTTCAATAGATTAATGGATAAAGTTTCTGATAAGGTCTTATTTAACTATGTATTTTAGGTCATTATCCTAATATATTTGATTAAAAATGTTATATTTTGAGATCTATGATACTTAATATGCTTTCAAATGTTGAATTACAATTAGAATCAAAGTTGTGATGCAAAAGGAGAAGAAACGAGCTGAAAAAGACGCAAAAATAATGTTGTTAGTAGCTTGACCTCTCTTCAGTTTTTTGGCCATATCTCATGACTCGTAACTCCGAATGACAAGAATCAAGATGTTTTGAAAACTAGACAAAATTTTGGACGACTTTCATGTTTGTGCAAAATTTTGATTCCTAGTTCCCATACCGTGGAAAATCCATTCCCATAGAGTGGAAAAATCAGAAAATTTTGTGGACATGAAGATTCCATCTTCCATGACGTGACAAATATTTTTACATGACGTGGCATCTCTATAAGCTATAAATAGAGCCGAAAATTAGCCATAATGATATATCTTCAGACTTAATTCGTTCCCTACGAAAATAAACCCCAGAAGTGTCGTTTTGAGGGTCTGGAAGGTGGTCGGATGGTCGTTAACCTGATTTAGAGCAAAGATCTGAAGAATTCGAGAGTTGATTCATGTCAGGAATCATTCGGTTTGATGTTCTGACCATGATTAGCATTCCAATCGTTTTTATTTTTGTTTTACTTTCTTATTTATGGCTTCAAAACCCTATTGCTTTGTGTTAGATTAGATGAATCTTGAGATTTTTGATTAAATTGCTATTTGGATTGTTTGTTCTTATTTAATTTATTTTGTCAAGTTTGATTGAAAGATCCATATATATTAAAGATCCCTACTTTATTGTGTATTGTTGAATCAATAAAGTTTAGATGACCATTCTTACTGTGTTAATTTGAATCGTAGTTGTCCATGATCATTAGTAATTATGACTAGAGTTTGATCATAATCTAGGGGTTGGTTAATAAAGTTTTGATCTTTAATGTGTGTGCATAAGTATATGATCATTCTATGTGTGATTTAATTCCTATGATCTGAAACGACCCAAAAATCATGACCCAAAATTTTATTTTATAAACATTAATAAAACCATAATTACCATTCGTTATATAAAACATAAGTTACGATACTCAAAACATCATAACAAAATAAGTGTCAATGTATCCAAATCACATATCAAATATCAGAGTAATATCCCAGGCTAAGGAAACTGCGATGTGTGCCGTGCGATCATCCCGAGCCCTTCCCCTTGCTAGTGGAAGTACCTAAAACCAAAACTAAAAACTGTAAGCTTGAAGCTTAGTGAGCTCCCCAATCTACCACATACCATACACATAATCACATAAAAGCACATATTGGGCCTAGCCCACTACATCGAGCCTCGCCTGGCATCGGACAAATCTGGCATCGGGCCCCGCCGGCATCGGACCGAGGTCCGGCATCGGGCCCCGCCCGGCATCGGACCGAAGTCCGATATACAAGCATATCAACATAAACACATAACATAACACATAACATACATCGGGCTTGCCCCGACATCGAACCGAAGTTCGGAAACACATAAGCAAAAATGCAAGAATCACAAAAACATGAAGCATACAAACATTCCTCGGGCTTACCCCGGCATCGGACCGAGGTCCGGAACTACTAATATCTATACGAGCCGGCATTGTGGTCGTAGACTCGTTCCTACTGGAGAAAAACTCACCTCG